CCCCAAAACCCCAAAACCCCAAAACCCCTAGTATACCAAATACGATAATTAAGCTGAAATATTTCTTTAGATAATTAAATAGAGAAAGTCTGCTAATTGTTGATTAAATCATTCATAGTCTTAAAACCCATTGATGAATGGAATAAGAATTGGCGTCCTTGAGCAATATATTCTGTATTCATCTTTGAAAAAATCATAGAGTATTTCTTCCTCAATCCTAAAAGGAATCAAAATAATCAAGCTTACTCAATGCGATGACGAAAAAAGTACCAAGATGATCCGAAAAACAAAAGAGTTGAAACTGGATTTAATAAGAATAGTTATGTACCAACTGCCCATAAAAACCATCCTAGATAGCTTGGATGCCTGCATACAGAGTACAAACCATCGGTAACAAGTTTGTGTCTGTCCTCCTTGTAGAACTAAATCTTATGATTGAAATTGTACCCAGCAGTAAACTCTGCTCCAATCCTAAAGAAGTGTCCAACGATGATCATTATCAATCCAAAGGCCGTTAAGCCAAATGAGAGGAAGGAAGGTAGATTTTCACACATGTCATAATAATTATAGAACAAAGAAAACTCAATGAATGAAATCAAAACTGCAATCATATATTATGGACTTTGATTTAACAAGAAACCTATAAAATAGTAAAATACAAGAATTAGATGTATCAAGCAAATTCGGAATTTCCTGAATTACTTACTATCAAAAGTTAGTTGAACATAATGAAAATAGCAAACATAGAGGTACTCCATATAGTGATATAGTCCCAATGAAGCAATATAAATCTACAACCTTAAAGGAAGGTAATCCGCCATATAAGAGAATGAATTCACAGTCAACATTCCTAAGACAAAGGTCACCAATGCTTCTTTAAGTCTTCTACTTTTATTGAAGGGACACTATTGATTTGGTAATGAGGAAAACGTATATCTAGGCGATTAATAAAACGTACCACTTTTTGTACTTAGAGCAGAATGTTTGCGGAGAATATCAGCAAGCTGATGACACTCAAGTAACTGCTAAACCTAATAGTCCCATTAAAAGTGACACCAGTCACAAATGACAATATAGCTAGAGAAATACCAGCCGATACCTCCTCTTCATTCATTTTCTTGAATTTAATTGTTGCTAAAATTTATAATTCTATTAATTTGATCAAATAAGTATTATGGGGTTTTGGGGTTTTGGGGTTTTGGGG